CCCGGCCCGTGCTTGCATTCCCCCGAGCGGCCTCGCCCGATCCGAGCGTCCCGACCGCTCCGAGGGGCGATGGAGGGGGGAGGAGGGGAAACCACCGGGGCACAAACGTGCCGGGGGCGAAGGGAAGCGAGCGAGCGAACCGAGCGAACGGGAGAGAAGCCTGCAAACCGCCGGAGGCCGGCGTCTGGAGGCGGGGACCTGGGACCTGGGTTCTGATCCCCGCCCCACCGGCTACGAGACCTTGGCCCAGGCCCTTTTCTTTCTCCCCGGGCCTCACTTTCCTGGTTTGTAAGTGGAGAGGTTGGACTATTGATGTCAGCCACCAGTCAGTCAACAAACATTTGCTAAGTATTTAAGTCCGACCCGGTGTGAATGTGACCCCTCCGGTGGTTCAGTGCGAGTCCCTTCCTGCTAGGAGTCTGTGTTGGGAGAATCAAAGGAACCTCCAAAGCCACTTGACAGATGGGTTACGTTAAGTGGCTTGTCCGTGGTCACACAGCTAATGCCAGAGGCTGCACTTGTACCTCGATCTACAATCTAGGGACCTCAGAGGCCATCTAATGCACCCCATCTCATCTTGCAGATGAGTAAACTGAGACCTACTCAAGTGCCTTGCCCAAGGACACCCAGATTGTAAACATAGTAAACAAGTGTGTGAACCCGTTTCCCAAGTTTTCTCGCCTCCAAGAGCAATCACTTTCCTTCTCTAGGCTTTAGTTTCCCTCTTCTATAAAATTCAGTTGCTGGATTTGATGAACAGTAAGTTTCCTTCTTGGAGAAAGAAATGGCCGAGAAAACCCCAAATAGGGTCCTGAAAGTTCGGAAGGACCGAAGGGAGAACTTTCCTTCTGGATCTGTAGTCATAGATTGAGTGGCGGTGACCTTGGGCACCAGTCCCTTGGCTCTCTCAGCCTCAACTTCCTCCTGTATAAAGTGAGGAGGTTAAACGAGATGATCATCAAAGGGGCCAAAAGTGTGAGCCAGAACTTTGGTCAGAGGACTCTTGCTGCCCTTTTGTGCATCCTGTTAACATCTTACAGAGATGGCAGTTCACCAACAATCAGTCATTAAGACCCCCGTGCTACATGTTGTAGATGCAAAGGCAAAAATAAAACTATAAATTTCCCTCTAAGGAGCACGTAAGGGAAGGTGTAAGAAGCAACATGGATGTGAGTATGGTAAAAGATAGGAAGTAATGTGAGCAAAGGAGAAATCTGATAAGGAGCTGTAGAAACATTGCATGAAGCATACAGATAGGAAAAAAAAAGAAGTCCATGCTTACAAGGAGAAAAGGGGAATAGGGAAATGAGCATTTAGTAAGCACCTACTATGTGCCAGGCACTGTGCTAAGTGCTTTACAATATTAATTTGACTCATGTTGTGTTGGGGAGGCAAGGATCATAGAAGGTTTAGCAGAAAACACTGAGAAAATTATAATGATATCAAGTGACATCAAAGGAAAGCTAGAGGGCGGCTGGGTTTGGGGGAAAGAGAAAGGAAGAGTTCCTTTTCGGACACGTTAAATTAGATGTGTCAGGAGGGCTTCCAGGATGAAATTTAGATATGTGGGACTAGAGTTCGAGAGAGAGAGAAAGCAATGCTAGATATATGGCTTTAGAGATTTGGGTGATGATTGAACCCAAGGGAGCCAAGGAGATTACCTGGGGAACAGGTTTGTAAGGAGAGAGGAGGGGAGACAAAAGAAGGTCCTGAGTCAGCAAAGGAAGCTGAGAAGGCAGGTTAGGCAGGTTGGCAGGTTGTTGTCCTTGGTACCGAAGAACTAGGAGAAAGTACTGCCATGGAAATGGAAAGAGGAGAGACTGTGGAGGGTAGAGTGGAGTGGGCTGAGAGAGAGAGAGAGAGAGAGTGAGAGAAAGAGAGAGTTCAAGGGTGGGGGAGGGGGGGAGTGGTGGAGAGAAGGATTAACAAAGGCCCATCAGACTTATCAATTAGATCACTGTTGAAGCTTTGAGAGAGCAGTTTTCAGAATAGCTTTGGGGCTCTGTAGCAGGATTGTTAGGGAGTGGAGTGGGCCTGGGGAAGCTGGAATGTAACCATTCTTTGGAGTTCTGCTTTGCCTCATGTCAAACCATGGGGAGGGGGGTGTACAAAAGCTTGACGGGCTCTTGGGGTCCCAGTGTTTGGTTTTGCTTTTAACAGGAAAACCTGCTCTTGTTTTGTAGTTTGTTGGGGAGGGGGGAGAGTGGTAGATGGGGAAAGAAGAGGAGAGAGAGGGATAGGTCCTTGGGTCCTGGGGAAATGGGAGGCATGGCCCCAGAGGAAGGAGAAGGGACCTCCTCATCTGTGACTGGATAAGAGTTTGGGAAAAGCCTCCCTTGGGCTGTTGAGCTGGGTCTTTGAGGAATGAATAGAATTTCAGGAGGCGAGGTAAATGTGTGTCCTTGCTGAAACCACCATCTTTCTTTCCCACTTGGAAGTAGAACAGTTGAGACCACGTTCTGGTACAGTTGATAGGTCATAGGGAGCATTTATTGAACACCTAGTGCTTGCCAGGTGCTGAAGGTGAAGGAAAAGGGAATAGGCCGTGCTCTAAAGGAGTTTACATGCTATTGGGGAGGGATCACTAGAAGCGGCAGTGGGGGGTCAGACCAGGCTGCTTCCAGGCTGGGGCGCTTGTGAGCTTTGAGGGGAGCTAGGGTTTCTGAAACATCGAGGTGAGGAGCAAGGGAGCCAGAGAGCTTGGCAATGAAAGGCACGGATTATACTGGGGACTGGTCAAACCACTTTGTCTGTAATCCCCAGAACTGGAAGAAGCATGGACCTTGGGGGGGGGGGGGGGCTATTTAAATGACAAATAGAGGAATTTGTATAATGTCCTCAAGGCAGAGGGGAGCCGTGGGAGAGGAGAGTGGTTAGACCTGTTGGGACATTTAAAGCCCTTCTCAATCCACTCGGCCTGCCTTTCCAGGTTAATTACATATCACTCCTCTTTGAGCCATGTGTATTCCCAGCTTCTTTCTCTTCTCTCTATGTCCTGGCCCCGTGCCTGGAATGCCTTCCCCTTGGCTCTTGAAATTCCTTCAGGAGGCCTCTTCAGAGTGCCCTGTATCCCTGCCCCCATCGCTCACTGCTAATGCTTTCCTTTTTAGATTACCTTGCATTTACACTTTAGGCCGTGGCCTTCATTAGAATGTGAGCTCCTTTTGGGGCAGAGTTGGGCTTTTGTCCTTTTTTGTATCCCTCGTGCTTAATGAAGTGCCTGGCTCCTAGTGGGTGATTAATAAATGCTGCTGGCCTGGCTGATGGTACTCATTTTGTATCTGGCCTGTTCTCTTTGAACAGGTATCTACTTCCTCTCCTCAAGGAGAATGTTGATCCTTGAGGGCACGGACTAAAATTGTATTGGATACTCCAAGGCCTTGCCTGTGATAGACATGTAATACTTGCTTGTTGGTTGAGTGTGCTTTAGCAATATAATTTTGGCAGCTGTGTGAAGGATATATTAGTGAGGGGAGAGAGCGGGCTCAGGATGTCTAATTACAAAGTTATTTCAGTAGCCCAGGTGAGCTGCAGTGAGGCCTTGAATTAGGGGAGTGGCCACGGGAAGTGGAGAGAAGGGGATGGGGGTAAGACCATGTAGGCCCAGAAGGGTCGAACCTTGGTTACTGATCTGATATTGAGGGTGAAGGAGAGAGAAGAGTGGGGGATGGCCAGAAGAGTTGTGGTGCTCTTGGCCAGGATACATAAGCTAGGTAGAAGGTAGTGTTTGGGGAGAAAAACTGAGTTGTAAAAGTTGAGATAACATCGAGGTTGAGATGCCTGTGGGACGTCCAGTAGGAAAAGTCCAACAAGCAACTGGTGATTTAGGACAAGAACCCAGGGGAGAGAACATACAGATCTGGGAGTCACCTGTAGAGTGATGATAATGGAACCCATGAAAACTAATGAGCTTTCCAAGAGAATTTGTGTAGAAATAAGAGAGCCCGAGAGTATGTGGCAGAACTGGAGAGATGATGACCCAGCAAGAAAACTGAGGAGTGGTCAGAGCCCAGAGGGAGGAGAGGGAAGGGAACAAATCCCCATTTTACAGTTAAGGAAACTGAGGCAGACATTGGTGGAATGATTTGCTCAGGGTTATATAGCTAGTGTCTGAAGCTGGAGTTGAGCTTAGGTCCATTAGGTCACCTAACTACAATGTAACCAAAACCTAGA